TTTTCGGTGGCCACCTCATGAACCTATAACCCAGACAGTTCGAGTGGATTTGGTGAAAATATTTCTACATCCTTGATGCTATAAGCACGGGCTTGTACGACTAATGGAGATTTCGCATGGCCGTAAAACACTAGCAGAGCTGGGGTTTCGCTACTTGAGCCAGAGGCAATATCAGCACAAATTAGAACAGAACAGCCAGACACCGTCAATACTTTTCAGCATCGATTGATAAAGTGAGCCTTCATGTTCTTTGTGTTATCGGAAAAGCTTACTCAAGTAGTGCATCTCTACTTTGAGTAGAGAGTATTCAAATAAAAAGGAGCTTCTTTTTCCCTAAGACCGCATTTGTAGAGGCTGGAATCGGTGGACATGCCAGTGAGTCTGACGAGGTGTTTGGCTGAAAAGAGGTCTTTACGAAAAGCTCGTCTATTTTGTCCGCTCAATTCTGGCTACGCCCAACTCGGTATGCATCGAAGAAGAGACTGTTAGTCTTCTCCCTCCATTTTGACTACGTCTTCGAGCAGATGAATTCGCTTTATTGTTGGAGTCATCACTTTAATCGGAAGGGTCCGGCCAAGCTTGAGGCATCACCTAGTTTCTGTGACTGCCTCGGACTCTTGGATTTCTTCAATGTTCCGCTCTTCTTGCCTAAACGTCCACGTTTGAGTATGAAGGGAGGCTCGAAGTCCCTATTTGTTGTCGTGGGTGATGTGTCCAAAGGCAACGATAGCAACTAGTCTGTGGGTCCTATTTAGTTTATGAGCTTTGCGATGACTGGCTCCTGCACCAATTATCCCCTAGGCAGACTGGAAGGGGTCTAGAAATGGTATTTTAGTCTGGGTCAAACTGCGTACTTTTGGAATAGTGAAGAGCATTTTGGGTTATAATAAGAGAGATGGTGTAAAACAGTGAAAGAGAGTTTGACTTGCCGATTGTGTTCGCCAAGACATTCTTTGCTGAAAGTATCATCCCGAGATTCAGGCATTTTGTGTTCGCTAGCGTAGTTTCGGATAGAGCACTGCACCAAAGCTCTGCATTTATAATGAAACTGGGCCTTTGTCTGAGCACGAGTACACGAGACTGTATAAGCAATTATTACTCAGTGCTTTTGAAATAACAAACAATTGCGGAGTGATTCTAGAGGCGAGCAGACACAATGGTGGGTGGGTGCTTGTTAAAAGTACTCAGGTGACAAAAGAGATTGAAAATCCACGACAAAACTGCGCAACAGGATACCGGATTCAGACACAAGTCATCCTGGTGTCTGCGGATGAACGGAATTGGATATAGCCACCGGGCGAGGTTGGAACACAAATCAACCTTCCGGGCGAACCAGCCTAGCAGTGAAACTCCTCGGACTTGTTCCATGTGGGCTTCGCCTTGGCCTATTCTCTCGACACAATACCCTCCAGAAGGAAGTCCAAAGAAAGCTTTACTTCCCCACCAGCTGACCACAGACTCCAATCACGGCACAGCCATCCATGGCCGCGCAAACGCTAGACTTGAGAACATTCAACTTGCCGAGGCTGGCGGCTGACCTTAAAGCCCCACACAACCAGGATCATGTTTTCCTTTGAAACAATAGGTCCTGGGTCTGCCGATCTCGAGCCGTGCTGTCAGCCTGGACGAGCATGGTCGTACCGTGTTCCGAGGCTACTGAGATCGGGCCCTTTGGACACAGAGCTCTGACAAGTCGACATGGAGAAGCGGAAAAAGTAGCCGTGTTTGGTCTGGGCTGACGTGTGGGGTCGGCCCAAGTTAATTGAATTGTACAGGCCAAAGTAGGCACTTGTGGCATTCTCGAGAAGGGCACGGTCCTGGAGCCCGTGATGGCAAGAGTCGACCGGAACGCCAGCTCCCGACCTTTGCCAAATTTGCAATAAAAGGCAAGACCATTTCGTCAGAATCGCGTCATGGCTAACTCGCCACAGCAGCAACGCCTGTTGCGAGCCGTTGGGCCAATGAGAGAATAAACGCAAAGGCACGGCTTGATGAGATGATGTAAGAGCTAAGTTGTGCTATCGCAGGTTACCGCAATTCGATAGCTTGTAGGAAGCAGAGGTACAACGCCATTGGTGGTTTTATTTATTTTAGTGAAGCTGAGTGAGCAGTAGGATATTGGGGAATGATGTCATTTAGGCGAGGAAAGCAAGAGCTTGCTGGAGTTGTGTGATCAACGTTAAGACGCTACGGATGCCAACCTCGAGTAAGTGGCGTTGGTTTGAAGTCGGCCGTGAGGCAGTCACATTGCTTCTGCAGAGGAATTGTTGCCGTGGTTGCGTTCTCTGCCCGGGACGTAGAAGCTGCTTGAGCTTGGTCCTCCTTACGCGGGGTAACTATCGAGGGTGCAGAAAATGGGAAAGGTGGCGTGTGAGATTGTGACACACATTCGGAGAGGCACGTGAAGATGCGTTTGACAAGCCGGGAGAGGAGAAGAAGAAGGTTGACAAAACGACGCTGTCGGGCTCTAAATGTTGTTAATGAGACCAGCGACGGAACACCCTTGACAAGAAGATCCAGAATCAACCCGCTGTTGCAAGGAGAAAGTACCAACAGCGATGTCATTTAAATATGGAATGGCGGCACAAAATGGCGGCACAGAATGTCGTGGATGATGAGTAGGCCTCACAAGTCTTGCGTGATTTGAGTGTCCCCTACTGATTGGTTGAAAATGTCCCGATCTGATAGGTCCAAAGGTAGGATCGATGCAGGGGCCAGATTTGATTGGTTATCACGAGCAAAGAGTGTAGAGTCATACTATCGGGTGGCCATTTTTGTAAGATGAATATTGAGCACTGAGATGCGGTGTCTGGCGGATGACTGAACGACTAAAATAAGACAACAGCAGAAGGGCTAATGTTGGGCTAAAAGATCCCTCAAAGTGATGTAGTGAGGAGATGGAGAAGTGGAACAGGGTCTAGAAAACAGGCCTGGCTTACGGCCTTGCAAGGCTGCCGATGATTGTATTCCTGCTGGGCTAAATTCGAATAATGAAGGAGATTATAAGCATTAAATCTCACTGTTTTTGTGCAGAAAGTTAAGAAAATCGGTTAAATATTGGCCATATTGTTTAGAAAATTCTTTCAACTTATATGAGAGGTGTTCACTCAATTTCGTTTAAGGTGATTAAGCATTGGTAGTAGAATTTCCCCACAATGATATGGGTTGAGCTGACGTTCCCATTCAATTTCACATAGCCTTAATTTGCCAAAAATTTGTCCTCATCCAAGCTGATGTGGGATGCAGTTTTTTGACCTCGCAATTTGCAATCTCCAATCGCACTCGACGACGCCACTCACACTCGAGGCGAGTATGTCTTAAATCTAGCGGCAAATGTTGAGAAAGCAAACTTTTTATCCCAGATTGTACGAGGTAATGCAGACAGCTACAGTTGCCCCTCAGGTGGAGAGGTAGGCCTGTGCGAAATCTGATCACATCGAGGGTCAGACGGAACTCGATAAAATGAAAGAAAAATGCTCAAAAATGCCATAAATGTCACGGTCTCAGTGAAAGCCACCCTTCCATCCATATTCTCAAATGAAATGGAATATATGCCAATAGAAAGTATGAGAGATGCATCAATTTGCTAATTATGATAGGTCAGTTGCTGAGGGCAAAATAGAAATGGGCGGGGTTGGGGGGGAGAGATCGACGTAGGAATTCCAAGATTATGGAATGTTGCCGACGTAAATAATTGGTACTGCAGAAGAGGTTGGGCCACTGAGAAAAAGAGTGTGAATAAAGTGGTCGGCTCGGTGATGTCTCCATTTATAGGCACACGACTGATTAACATAGCTCAGGCAGTTGGCGATTACGTATCTTGACTTTCTCAAGTTCACACAAACCTGAGAACATTTTGCCTGAAAAGGAAGCAAACAAATATCGTCAACATCTCATTTTAGACAATTATTCACTTTGCGGATGCAGCACAAGTTGTTATTGCTGTTGCCATGTCGATACATTTCGTGTAATAG